GAGGAAAGAGCTGTGATCATTAGATCATTTTCTACTGTGATCATTAGACTAATTTTATATCAACAGCTTGTCACCCTGAATGTCATGCAGCCATGGTGTGCCTGACCCATAGATATGGTCTTGGTGCTTTCAGAGGGCAGGAGCCCTCGTACAACCTGCTTGTTACTGGAGATCTTTTGGGGATGCATCTCTGGATGTTCATCCTGGGTTACAGGGTCTCCACATGCAGCCCCCAGCTGTAGGGCTCCTGGAGCAGTGCAAGCCAAAACCATGACACTGCCTCAGAAGGCCAGGCAAGGCAGCTGAGCTAGAGTCAGATGTCAAAAAGTAAATTTATTTTGGCATATGTAAAAATGGCAATATGTACTTGAAAGCAAGTTCTCCATGTATTCTGGTACATACAGATCATGAGTAAGAAAATCTATTTACATCTCATGGCCACTGGGTGATTCACATGTACCAAAATTCACCGTGTGTCAATGAAACGCTCCAGTGAAGCCTCAAAATGGGTCTCAAAGGTTCATCTGCTCGAGCTCACACACAATCACCTGCTGATGCATTGAATGCTTTTCTGTAAAATATCCTTAGATATAACAACAGAAATGATTGTCTTTTCATCTGCAGGTGAAATTTTCATGTGTTAGACAGCTTGGGGTGATTTAGTCATGTTGTGGAGCCCTGGTGATCCGAAATCATTAGCCAGGACGGTGAGCCAGTGGTCTCTGTAATGCTCAGCTGCCAAACTCAGTTGTATTTGAGAAACTTCATGGATATATTTAGATGAAGATACACAGTTTTAATCTTATGCTTAATTGCCTTCAGAGAAGTATTGGGACATTCTGCTTAGAATACATTGACAGCACTGGACCTAAACTCAGAATTTCTATTGGTATTTTCAGAGTTGGATGCTCTTGATATAGAAAAGATGGGAAAAAAAAATAAGGCATTTAAGTGCATATTTAGTAAAAAAACAGCCTTCCTGACTCAAAAATAAAAATGGAAATAAAATAAAATCAGCCTGGTGAAGTGTAATCTAATTTTCCTCTAGAATAAAACCAAAATCTTGAAGCACTATTCTTGATGCTCAGCAGTTTGAAGGCATGCAAGCATTCCAGTTTTGACTCCATTGTGCAGTTGAACTGGAAGGATTATATCACAACACAGCGTGCTTGTTTTCCATCTTTTTGTCCATCAAGACGTTTTTGTAGAGGTATCAATGATTGTTGACTTTGGAGGAAGGGGAAGAAAAAATAATTAGGAGTAAAAGCAGACAGTGCCATTGAAGGAACTGTGCTTCTGTCATAGGAGAATGAATGCTCCTTTCAACAAATCTGTAATTTGCAGAAGTTGCAAAAAGAAAATAGCCTTAAGGTGACTGTTAACGTACTTCAGTTCATCCTGCCAAGAAAGTTAACTTCATAAAGTCATTAAACCGGTGATTACATTTTAAAATATTATTCCCCAGCCATTTCTTCTTAGACTTTAAAATACAGTTACTGTATATACTACTTTCTTTGTAATGTGAAAAATTGTAAAATACACTTATTTTTCATAAACTCCTAATTATTAACAGAGCTATTTGCGCTCCTATAGTGAAAGTCATTTCAACACTTCCGTTATTTAAACTTCACTTTTAGGGGTTCATAATTTGGCTGTAATAAAAAATAAATTCAGACTCCGAGGGCTCAAATAATCTTTGCTGGCATTAGGGGCTGATTTTCTTCAAGAAGCTGAGTGATTTGGATTGCTGACTGTTCTTCAAGATAATCCGGAATAAAATGCTTTCCAGTGCTGACTGAATAGCTGTAATCATTAACAAATTTGGGGAGAGCCATGGAGTGCGGTGGAGGTGATGCTGCTCTTTTGTCCCTGCCTGGTGCTGAGCAGGGCTGAGGCTTGAAGAAGGGATACTGCTGGGACTTCTTGCAATGTCTCTTCCATTGCATTTCCACAAGGGTGACTGTAGGAGCAGATGGGGAAGGTTATGGCTGGCCTTGTAGCACACGCACTGTGGGGTCCTTGGCAGCAGACTCGCTGCAGTGGAAGGCAGAAGACCAATGGATTTAGAGGTTGTGTGGCTGAAGGCTGCTTCTCTGCCATGATGGATGCTCAAGTGCTCAAAGATGGATCACTTTTTTGGTACGGCTTCCTGAAATCCCCCTCATCGCGTAGCACGGCCGCTGTGATGGCTGAACAAGGCCCTCAGCTCCGGAAATTGAGGAGTCAGGGCTTGCTGCGTATTGGCAGCAACGCAGGGACAGTGAAATCAGACAGTTCGTTACAGCACTAATTATAGCAAAGCGCTCGTGTTGTGGTTTGAATGACTCAGTTCTGTGTGTGCTACAGCTATAAATACATCTTCTCCCCGATCTGGACTGTGTGGTACGTAATTTTTTTTTAATGGCCTGGATACATATTTACCTGAGCGTATCCTGGTTTCCCAGGTAAATATGTGTACCAATGCAGAACTCATTATGGTCTGTTTGGATAAATAATCCATATTTTATAACGGTACAGGAAGTAATTATTTTCCTATTTTGCTTTCTTTAAGCCAAAGAAATTAAATGCTGTGGGTTCATTACTTAAAATAAAATAGATGCGAAAATCGAGGTAATATGAGAATAAAGTTTTCATTGTTTTGGTAGAAACTGAGAATGTTATTCCAGATTTTGATCTCGTGTTTAGCCCAGAATAACTCCATTAAAATAAACAGCGTTATTCAGGATTTACTTAGATGCAAATGGGACGTGAATTTGGTCTCCTGTCCTTAATCCCCCTTACTTCACTGGGAATTCCCGTAAGTAGCTCGCACACGATCTTTGCTGTAAATGGCATTGTCAAGTATTTATCATTTGGAAAAAGAAGTTATTTCAGCTACGTGGGGGACATGAACCGATCTGAATTTTGTAATAAGAAAATGGATGTTTAACAGTTATGGTCCTACACGCAGTAGAGAAACGGAGCCACCTATTTCAGCCATTGTTTGATACGACGTGGGAAGGAGCTGCGTTGTTGTGGCCATGCTACGGTCAGGGTTTGTAGCACTTTGAGGCTTGGTGGGACCAAGCTTAGCCTTGGCCTAAATCCATGAGCTGCAATAGATTTACACCAGAGATGAATATTGGCTCGTTCTTGTTAACTTTACTTTTTATCCAACTCTTTCTATTTCATCTTAGAAATATAAGCAGCCTGTGCGCCCTCAAACTAATCAGAATAAGAAACAGTTTGGCTTATGCCAAAAAAATAGAACTATCATTTTCCACATTCTTACATTTTTCAAGTGAGTTTCAAGTAAGATTATATTACCGTGACTTCTGAATTCCTGAAATCTCTCTGGTCTTTGTAACTGCAAGGGCCAGCAGTGTTTCAAGAGGAAAATCTGAAACTCTTCATGCAGTATGTTTTGTGTTGTGCGGACTAGATACACTTCACATCTTGCCTGCGTGCCATTAGTGTGGAAAAAAATTAATGCAGTACAGTATTATGATTTATGGACTGAATTTTTTGCCCACTGAGCCCTTTCCAAAAAAAAAAACAAACAAAAAACCCAAAAAGTTTTTCCCCCTCTCCTCCTTTGGATATTAGAAACAGCTACTGTTTTTGTTGATCTTTTTAACTTCTGAATAGACCTATTTCAAGTCATAGCAGCATGGGAGCTCAGATTAATAATATACTTATTCAGGCAGTGATACTGACTGAAACCATTGCTAGCGTGAGTAAGAAGGATAGGATTTCTTTAAATTATTTTCAGGTGCATTCATGCATTTCTGAAAGAAGAGTATAAGGGTATTGTAAAATAAATGAAATTTTTGTTTACTGATCATGTTACAGGTGTGTGTGTGTTTTAATGTCAGGAATGTAAGATGTCTCATTTTGATAGCTTTTGTTCTGGGCTCACCGTCAGTCCGTCTATCAATTAGCAAACAAGAACAGGAGCCACTAAACAACTACATCTAGCCTTCTGGACACTGCTTTTAGATCTGGAGGAAATATATTCCATGGTGTGAGGCATCCTTACTATCCCACCTCCTCTTCAGCATCATCTCCAGGCAGTCTCAAAGACAAGCAAAGAGGAGAATCCCATGGGCTGCTCTGATGGCTTTGGGCCTCCTTAGCGCAGTAGTTTGATGAGCATCAGCTGCTGTGCTCTTGTGCTGACGTGATGTGAGCCTGCCCGATGGCCTCTAGCTCACCAGCCCTGTGCTGACTGAAGGCAGGTCCAAGGCTGATGCCCTTAGTCCTTTCCAAAGAGATTTTTTGCCCTTTCTAGCACTATTTCAGGGGCTTGGGGCCTTCACACGCATGGCCTTTGTGATAGAGATTTGCTCCTTTCTCCTTTGGCTGCATCTCACTTGTTTTTGTGGCATTTAGGACTCAATCTCATCTTTAACTCTTTCCTATCTGAATGGCAGGACCTGCAATACAGTCAACTTTTACTATCAAATCATTTTCTTTATCTCAAATAAAATTGGAGTATACCTAAAACGTCTTCTATGGCTTCCACTAATGCTAAGTTGAGTGAGACTGAGTTTCCTTCAAAAAATGCTTCCATGAGCTGTTTGAAATTTGTATATGTTATTCTAAAAAATTGTGAGAGGAATATACTACTCTTCCACAGTCCCAGATAAAGTACTATGGCAAGAATTTGGCATTTTTACATTGCCTGAGAGAATTCTGTGTTCGTTCTCCGGGCAAATGTGGTTTGAAGGAGAAAAAGAAAAAGCAACGCAGCGCTTTTCAAAAGCGATGATTTTAAATAGAAACAAAAAAGCTTTTTGCTCGAGATTCATCACAGGTTTTTCAGTCTTTTCATAAAATTGTTGCTCCCTTTTTGCCTAACGAGTGGAGTGAGTGACACTTTTGAGAGTCTCAGCTTGTGCTTAGGTGCGTAGCTGGTATTTAGCTATATACTACCATGCAAAATATTATCCAAAATATATGAAAAACCTGGTATATTTTTAACACAGACGCAGCCATCCTAATGAATTTGTTTATTTTAGTTGCAGCAAGCAGCTGAGGTTTCTCAGCTGAGAGGAGCTCGAGTCATCTCTGCTGAAGACCTCCTGTTCCTAATGCGCAAAGACAAGGTATGGCAATGAGACAGAATGGTCTCGTTCTGCACAGCAAGCTCCTCATCATGTTTAAAGTGTTTGCTCCTCCATACATGTGAATAGCTGTGCTAGAAGGTGCAGCTGTACTACAGCTGTATTACATGTAGTACAATAATTACATAACTTTTTAATACTCATTTTCTCCAGTGATTTCAATTATGAATAGATTTTTTTTCACTAGCATTTAGAGTGAGTACTAAACATTACAGCTCAGAGCAATTTCTTAATTGTCTGTAGTATAAAGGATCCTTACCTGCTCTTGTGAAGTGTCCCTGCCTATAGCAGGGGGTTGGAACTACATGATCTTAAAGGTCCCTTCCAACCTAAACCATTCTGTGATTCTTATCCTTTATATTCCTTTGATTTCTTATTTCCTTCTATTTATGGAGAACAGAGAGGCATGTCTGATATTTAAGTGTTATCATTTTTTTAATGTTTCTTCTTCTTTTTAATATTCTTCCTGTATTTTGATCTCACTAAAACTTCCAGACTGAGATATGATGTGTTTTTTTGTGTGATCTTATTAGACCTAGTCAATAATTTAACAAAATCAGTTTTCCATAAGAATATTAAAGTCATTTTATCCCTTCAAATTTCAAAATTATTCAAAAATCCTTATTATTTATTTTTCTCTAACCAATTCCTTACTCTTTTGCCTCCCTTTCTCTGTTTTTCTTCTCTTGTTTGATGGGTGAAACCAAATGACTAAAAACATATTGAAAGAAATAAAACCTGAAAGGTTGGAAACCAAATGCAGTTACTTTATCTGATATCTGATATGCCCAGCGATGGTATAATGAAAACAGTGGTTAATATGAACATCAAAGTTCATGGAGGTACGCATGCCTAGGTGAGAATTTCCAAACAAAGCATAGATTTTGGAGCCCTAATACAGCCTGAATTTCTCCTTCCTGAAAGGGAAACCCATCGCTGTCTCACAGTGGGCAAACAAAATACCAGCTTGCTCACCTAAATACCTCAACATGCTTGCTATATGTGGATTTTCTTCAGAATTAGGAACTAAGAACATTGTAAAAAATATATTTGTTATCGTAATGTCCCTGTTCATTGCAGGGGAGTTGGACTAGATGACCTTTAGAAGTCCCTTCCAACTCTGAGGATTCTGTGATGCTATGGTTTGTGTACATGTGATGCCATACAGTTCGTGTATTTGTGTGTTATAATTTTAGCCTAAATGAAAAATAATTCTATGCAATACTAACACCAATGTATGTTTTTCTCTTAGAAGAAGCTTAGAAGGCTGCTTAAGTACATGTTTTTTCGAGACTACAAATCTAAAATTGTGAAAGGCATAGAAGAAGATGACCTCATTGAAGGTAGAAAAGCTTTCCTTAATTTGGGAGGTGTTTGATATTTTATAAATGCCCAGAACAGCTCACTGCAAAGTATTAATGTCTTCTCTAATATTTATACAAGCAAAAATTACAGATTCAGATGTAGTAACTTGGTTTTAAATTGCTGCTTTTCCATTTGCATTACTTCGATGTTAAGATTTTCCATCTACCATCCAAATGATAAGTAACAGTGCTGAATGTTGTAACTCTGTTGAAGCTAAGAAACTGGTGCTGATTAAAGGGCTAATTGATTTCAGCATGTGTAATTTAAATATGTCAGCTACCATGTACAAGGGAGATTGTCAGCTGAATGGACATTTGTTAGCTAATTACCAAAAGGTTTTGACATGTTTTACAAAAAGTACCATAATCTGAAGTCATTTAATACTGATATATGACCTGGCCTTCTTTCGGTGCCGTTTAGCATTTTGTACTTTGAATCTCTCGTTTCAAGAATGGGAAACACTTTGACATTTTTTTCCCCTCGCCATGAATTCTTTGTGTTTAGTTCCTCTGAGCATCCACACTGATATTAGGTAAACGTTGTTCATCGTGCATGCTAAGCACTGCCATGGGCTGCCCAGGGAGGTGGTGGAGTCCCCATCCCTGGCTGTGTTTCAAACCGTGTGGATGTGGTGCTCAGGGCCATGATTTAGCGGAGGGCTGGTAGAGTTGGGCTGGGATGGTTGGGCTGCGGTTGGACTCCATCATCTTTAAGGGCTTTTCAACCTGAGCTATTCTATCATTCTATGCTTTAACTTGGTCAATGTGTGGATAAGGTTTGGTCAACTCATTTGACTTTTAATTTGCTGTGGCACTATATTTTCACAAAGCATAAAAGTATATTGCAAGCAATCGGAAGTATAGCTTCCTACCTGACAGCTTGGTATTTTTGTAATCCTTATGTTCATACCACTAGTTAAATCAATTTTCCTAAATCATTTAGATGCTCAAGAAATACTTCCCAAACACACTTCATTTTGGTGTTGGAGATTCCATTTTCTGGCAAGCTTTGGTGACTGAAGCCATTGATTTTGTTTTGTGAAACTTGCTTATTTGTAGCTGTTATTCTGCCTAGCACAACGACCACCTTGCCCAGGGTTCACTAGGCTTTTTGTTGAGCAGAGGTCCATCATCTGTGGAGCTGCATCTTAGTGCTTGTGTTAGGATTCGCTTTAGATTGTAGGTAATTTAAGTGTTCTGATGTTCTGTATACTTATGAGAAAAGGTGTTACTCCCAAATGGTCTGCCATATGAGTGAGCTTTCATACAGCTGTTCCCTGTGGCTTTTTCAATACAATACCTGGTAGACTAGATTTTTCAAGATTGCTAAAAAGATAAGGTTTTACTAGGAAACATTAAAGGGGACGTTCTACTATAGTGCTTCTGCAACACAGCAGGGCATCACCTTGGTCAGGTTGCTCAATGTGTATGAGGGCAGGAAACAACCCACATAGTGCATCTGAGTCTAAAAAATGCCCCTTCTAGGGACATCATTTGATGTTTAGAGTAGCCAAATAATTTACATTCTCTGTTTGTTCCTTATCTTTGTGTAGACAAGTTCAGCAGCAACAACACCAACAAACGGCAGAAGCTTGCTCAGGACTTTCTCAACTCCATTGACCAGACAGGAGAGCTCTTGGCCATGTTTGAAGATGATGAGATTGATGATGTCAAACAAGAGCGGATGGAGGTAATTGTTCTGTTTTACTGATACCCATCTCCTGCAGAGAAAACTCTGAAATATTTCATACATCATGCTGTTCTGCTGCCTTGTTCGAGTTGCATTTTGTATCGTTGTCACATGCTTTTTCCTTTTGCCCAGATGGTCTAAAGGAATCCTATTTCCATATTTTTCCTATTCCTTCAAATGTTTGCTGATATCTAAGCACACATGCTGAGAGGGAGGATTATGAAAGTGTAGTTATGGATCTTTCTGTCTGCCATATATTTGTATTTCCTTCCTGTAGAAAGCAGATTCTATTTAAAAACATTTCACAGACTTTTTTTTTTTCTATTTTTTTTTCCTATTTTTCATTCTTTCTCTCATTGGAAAATTATGCTTAGATAGCAATTGAGGATTCTTTTCATATAACATAGCTTTCATAAAAAATGAAAAATATTCTGTGCATACACACTTCCATATATGCTCTTCTCACTTTTTTATCTACATATATCTGAAAAATTAGGCCTACATTATTGCAGAACCTACAGAATGCAGAACCTTATCACTCTTAGCAAGCTAACCTGGGATCAGGAATTCTAGCAGCATTAGCATGGGAGTTTCTGAAACAGTGGTTTTGATGCTAATTTTGCTTGGTTTCACTGAGTCCTAGCAATATGACCCCAAGCCCTGTGTCAGAGCAAGTGCCACATGGGTCTTATGATAGAATCATAGAATCCATATTGTTGGAAGGGACCTTTAAAGAACATCCAGTCCAACTGCCCTGCAATGCACAGGGACACCACAGCTACATCAGGTTGCCCAGGGCCTGATCCAACCTGGCCTCCATGGCTGGGACATCAACCACATCTCTGGGCAACCTGTGCCAGTGCCTCACCACCCTCACTGTAAAAGACTTCTTCCTTATATCCAACCTAAATCTACTCTCTTTAAGCTTGAAAGCACTTGTCCTTGTTCTGGCACAACAGACCCTGCTAAAGACTCTTTGCCCTTCTCGATCCCTGTGTTTTCTCTATTAATTGAGCATTTTCTTGAATGTCACTGAACTATTTTAAAGATCCACAGGTTGTATCAGGGCCAGGGCGAATTTTCTGGCTCTGAAGGCACATGGCATTGACTGGCTTGCATCCCCATAGCTAACTTTTCTTTCTACCCAAAACAGGCTAGTTCTTCCATCAGAAGAGGGGTGGCCAGCAGGGACAGGGAGGTGATTGTCCCCCTCTATTCTGCTCTTGTGAGGCCCCATCTGCAGCACTGCATCCAGGTCTTGGGGCCCCAGTGCAAGAAAGACAGAGAGCTGTTGGAGAGGGTCCAGAGGAACCACAAAGATAATCAGGGGGCTGCAGCACCTCCACTACAAAGACAGGCTGAGGGAGCTGGGCTTGTTCAGCATGGAGAAGAGAAGCTGCGGGGTGACCTCAGTGCAGCCTGCAGTACCTAAAGGGAGCCTGCAGACAGGAGGGGAGTCAGCTCTTGGAAAGGGGAGATGGCAGCAGGACAAGGGGAAATGGTTTGGAGTTGAGGGAGGGCAGATGGAGGTTGGATGTCAGGGGGAAGTTGTGTGCTGTGAGAGTGGTGAGGTGCTGGAACAGCTGCCCAGAGAGGCTGTGATGCCCCGTCCATCCCTGGAGGTGTTCAAGGCCAGGTTGGATGGGGCCCTGGGCAGCCTGGGCTGCTGTGAAATGGGGAGGTTGGTGGCCCTGCATGGCACAGGGGGGTTGGAGCTTCGTGATCCTTGAGGTCTCTTCCAACCCAGGCCATTCTTTGATTCTGTTGACAGCTGATATATAGAATGCTCCGCAGCTCCTTTTCTTGGCCATTTCCTGCTCATGCCTCATGTGGGCAACTCGTTGTCAAGGGCAATGTTCTACATGGTTTCTGCTCACAATTGCACACAATTTCCATATTTTTTTAGTCAGAGGTGTAGGATTCGTGGCAGTTGGAAAGCTGCTATTTTTAGAGTGCTTTTTTATGTCCTTTCATTACCAGAGCTGGGTACTTCGGTTTGATTTTGTTTCCTATGATGAGGTGGCTGATGCATTCAGTAATATTTGTCTATTTAATATTTGCCTATTTCACCTTAAGTTTTCGTGGAAAATTCTATGGAAGAAATAACCTGATTTTCATCCTCCTCTTTCTGGGACTTGCCCAGTCATGTTTCCCCCTCCTTCTTTCCACTGCAGTTACTAAAAATCAAATCAAGAATCCATTCTCCCTACAAATGGGGTTGGGAACAAGACCCATTTGTCCACAGCTGAGAAACAGTGCTGTAGAGCATTTGTTCCCAACCACTATTTGTGTTTTAGAAACTGATGTTTCTTTTCTTTACTTTTGTACAAATGTATTTATGTAAAATGATGTTTTGCATAAATGCAAGCATATCCTTTGAGCTCACATGCACATAAATAGGTAACAGCCTTGCTTGGAATTAGTGTTATGGGATTGACTTTCTGCTCTTCTTTAGGTTCTCTTCCGTTACTCTAGTACAACCTTTATTTTTTTTAAAGCCTAAAAAGCTAGACAAGTGAAGTAGTGTGAAATTCCTTGTTCCAGACAAGGTCATATCTAATTTTCTATTTGTCTGCAGTCAAATACTTCTCTTTCAGCTGATCACACATCTTGGTTTTCATCACTGGACTATTCACGAATTGTAGGATACATATATTGAAAGTAATTTGCTTTATTGCTTTACTTTATTACATTTCATGAATAATGTGTTTCCATGTTAAAAAAAAATTCAAGATCTACTTATTTTGGAATAGAAACATAAATTATATACGGGTCTGAAGTCAGTACTGTGGATTTTCTTTCTTATTCATTTTTCAATGACAAAACACTAAACATTGGTTGAGGTATGCTACTCCAGAAGTTAAGCTTTGGTTTTCTTTTAGGCTTTGTTGTCACTTTCAGGTGGATAGAAATAAATCAATCACAGTGAGAAATGTGATCCAGTCCTAAAGGAGGAGTACTTCACTCAGAGGGTGGGTAGTTGCTGGAGCAGACTGCCCAGAGGGGTGTGCATTCCCTGTCCTGGAGGTGTTCAAGGCCAGGCTGGATGGGGCCCTGGGCAACCTGATCTAGTGCTTCACCTAGAGTTTGGCAACCCTGCCAGCAGAAGGGAACTTGATGATCTTTGAAGACTCTTCCAATCTAAGCCGTTCTATGGAAGTTGCTTGTTCTCCTGTGTTGTCAGTGGATGGGTTGATGTAGCGCATCACATTTTCTTTGTGCAGTCAATTATATTCAATGCTAAGTTTATATTCCATGCTAAGTTTGGGAGGAAATCCAGTAGACACTTAAAAAATTCTAACGGGGTTCTTTAAGGAATTAGTATGCTTGACCCTAAAGGGAATGGTCCTTTTAGGTATCGATTACCTCAGACATGAGTGGTTGCCTTGGTTTGGACAACTGCAAATGATTTCAGTTTCATGTTGCCTTGGGCCAACATCATGCCAGCTTGTCCTAAGCATATGATAAACATGCATTTCTGATGTCATTATGGGCTAAACAGGAAATTATTGTTTAGCAGTATGGTTTCAGTTATGAGACAAAAAGCAAATATTATTTATATTTATTTTTTAAAACACGTTTTATGGAATTAGATCTAAAACTTCATGAGAGCACTTCCTGTTCTGTGAGGTCTGTTCTCTTTGTACCACAGAGGAGTAAGCAAAGCCCCAAGCTACTTTCAAACAGTAAAAAAGGTGGAAAAAGGCCTACAGTTTTGTCTGAACAACATCCCCTAGTGCTGTCACGTTACAAGGAAATGGCATTCCTTTAGGACTGGATGTAGATCTTACTGATACATCCTGCAGCTTCAGTTTGAAGCAGAGATCATTTCTGAGAGTAATAAAAGCAATATGCAAAAGACAGTCAACTTGTCTTAAAAGTGAAGGGCAGGAATTAAAAACAAAATCCACATTACTTTTCGATAATGCATGATTATGTTGTCAATGCATTTTGATCAGATCATGAGAGCAGTAATAGCAACGAATAGCAGCAAATCATCCAACTGTATTGACAAAAGCAAACCAAAACAGAAGTAATAATAGCAGCGCTGTCTCACTCCAAAACTGTAAGTACTTTGCCCTCTCAAAATAGCAGTCAAACAGATGTGATGTGCTGCTCCTCCCAGTAAGAACAGGTATAGATGAAATGAAATAGTCTGGTTCATAGACCTAGTTGAACTGTGCACGTGGAGATCATAGAAGCTTTCTTTCTGGCAAGTGTCAGTGCCCAGAATGGCAGTTTTTATTGTACTGGTTAGTCTCAAACTGCTTCACTCTGGAATAGAGCAGTGGGAAGGTGTATGTTCAGTATGATCTCTGCATTTTGGAATAGGCTGCCCAGGGAGGTGGTGGAGTCCCCATCCCTGGCTGTGTTTCAAACCGTTTGGATGTGGTGCTCAGGGCCATGATTTAGCGGAGGGCTGGTAGAGTTGGGCTGGGATGGTTGGGCTGCGGTTGGACTCCATGGTCTTTAAGGGCTTTTCCAACCTGAGCTATTCTATCATTCTGTGATTTTTCCTTACTTTGCAGTTTGGGTCGAGGTGCAGGTTTGGCTGTTTGTGCCCTTGTGTTGCTGCTCTGAACCTCTCAGAGGACCTGTCCCTATAAAACTTGCTGCATGTTTGGCAGCATTTTGTGGCCAGGAACACCAGCGCTGCTAAATTAATGTATGAGAGCCTTTATCGAATTTACAGTGTCCTGTTATTAAAATCAAGCAGAGGTCTTTTAAAATTTCAGTCAACTGAACAGCAAAGTGGACTTCTTTCTCAGCCTCTAGAAGTCCATTTTTTATCATTTGTTTTATGGTGCCAATACCTCCCCTACCAGGAAAAAACAAATTCCCTTCTGAAATCTGAACTGGCGTCCAAAGGACTGCTTGGAGCATCACACTGTGAATACTCTATTTCAGTTCTGTTCCCCTGGGATTGAAAGAAACACCATTCATCTGTCCCTCTGAGTGCTAGTATTGGGATGTATTTCCAACACTCAGATGTTATATAG